TGTGTGTGTGTGTGTGTGTGTGTGTGTGTTTGTGTGTTTGTGTGTTTTATAAAATCTCCACCAAAATTTCATTATCCATTCTTATATTGATGAATATGTAGACAGGCTTCATTTCCTAGAAGTTTTGACTGGAGCAGCAACAAACATGGCTGAGCAGTTATCTCTGTAGTAGGATTCAGAAATTACATAGCTGGACCCCATGACACTTCCTCTGAGAATGCTTCACACTGATTTCCATAGTTGTTACATCAGTTTTTGCTTCCACCCAGAGTGAATGAAGGCTCTCTAGTTCCCAACATCTTCACCAGCATTTGATGACATCTGATTACTTGATGACAGATATTCTGAATGGTTGTGATGAAGTATCAAATTAGTTTACCTTCCATTTCACTGATGACTAAGAATGTTCAATGGTTCATTTATTGGCTATTTGTATTTATTCTTTTAAGAACTCTCTGTTCAGTTCCATGGCTCATTTTTTGGTTGATTTGTTGTCTAATGGTTCAGTCGTCTGTCATGTGAATAGCTCACAAGATTTTCTCTCATTTGTAGTTTGTTTCTTTGTTCAGTTAACCATATCATTCATTGCCTTTTCAATGTATTTATTTTCATTAGTTCATTTATTTTTGAGACAGGATTTTATTGTGGAGCCTAAGCTGGCTTAAAATTAATGATTCTCTTATTTCACCATCTCAAGTTCTGGGATTATAGGCTTGTGCCACCATAAGTATCTCCATTTATCACTTGTTATGTTGCAGTGCTGGAAAGGTCCTCTCACTTACCATATTCTCCGTGATGGTCACTAAAGTTCCACCAAGTTTCCACCAAGTTCATTCAATGGTTCTCATTTTATCATGTATCAATACATGAAAATGTTTTCATACATTAACTAATCTCCCTTAGAGTTACTAATAACTTATTTTTTCCCTTAGTCTCTCAGGATATTTAGATGTCATATCTGGAACACACTGTCAAAATAGACCTGCAAAGGGAAGAAAGGAGTCATCAAAAGTGTCTTGAGAAAGTTGTTATTCAGAACCTGTTTTAGTTATAGCTCTCACTGCATTGCTTTTCTCAGCTGCAACCACACTCCCAGATTAGACAATTACATGTCTGATGGGCTAAAGGAAGGATCAGAGTTCAGAGTGTGAGAACTGGCTGAAACACCAACCAAAAACTTACATGATCAGATAGGTCAAAGAGAAGGTTTGTGCTTATGTAGTAAGCTCTGAGTAAGACTTAAATATTGGTATATGTGCACTGAGGGGGTCATGGAGGTGTGGGAAGCATAAGCAAAAGCCATTGAGGCTTTCAACCCAGCCAGGAAACAAGAGCAGAGAATGACTTCAGGTACAGAAGGTACCTCAAGGTGTTGTAGACACCAATGGGATTTGTTCTGGAGAAAAATTCCTGCATAGGTGGGCTCTTAAAGACACATTGACAGGCTTTAGGTGCATGTATGTGAGGAGGCATGAAGCAACTGTAGATCTTATTATCAGCCTCTTCTTTGCTTCCTTGGCACTGTGGATTTCGCCTGATGTGTGCCCAAGTCCAGGAAAATGTCTGACATAATAAGTTCTTGCAACAGATGTTATATTAACACCTATGAAATGGGGTTAAAACTTACGCTATTTTAAAATAGAAGCTGTGTTCTGTATGTTAGAACATTTTATATAGAACATTGTTTATATAGTTTATGGTTTCAGAAAAATCTGGATAGGATGGATTAGGTATTTTTGTTTCTGCTTGTTCACAGACACACTTACTGAAAGGATGGAGCATAATTTGGGTTTTCTATGCATTTTCAACGTTTCGAAGTGGAGACTGCCAGTTGAAAAGAGTGAGGAGTGATATTATGAGCAAAGGGGTCAAGGCCATGATGGGGAAACCCATAGAAACAGCTGATGCAAGCTAGTGGGAGCTCACTGACTCCAGACTGACAGCTGGGGAAACTGCATAGGTACAACTTAGGCTACCCTGAATGCAGGTGACAATGGATGTTTTAGGCAGCTTATGGGGCCACTGGCAGTGGGACCAGGATCTATCCTTAGTGAGTGAACTTCCTTTTTGGAGCCCATTTCCTGTGGAGAGAGATCTTGCTCAGGCTAGCACAGTAGGGAGGGCCTTGGTCCTGCCTCAGTGTAGTGATGGGACAAAATTCATTGATTCCCCATGGGACACCTTACCCTCTCTGAGGATCAGATGGGGGTGAGGTGGGGAGAAGGTGGGGAAGAGGGAGTAGGGGAGGGAGGGGGAACTGGATTGGTATGTAAAAATTAAAAAAAAATAAGTGTAGACTCTGAACTAATATTTACAAACTATGGAATACACTCCAAAGGAAGACATTATATTTTACTATGGGAGATAGATATAAAGGAATGAATAATCATTCATTTTTATTTTAAAAACTTTATATACATTTGTGTTTTACCTGCCAAGTATGTCTGTGTAAGGGTTTCAGGTCCTTTGGAACTGAGGTTACAGACAGCTATGAGCTGCTATATGGATTCTGGGTATTGAACCCAAGTTCTCTGAAAGAGCAGCCAGTGCTCTACCTGCTGAGCCATCTTTCCAGATCAATGAGATAATTATTCTTAATTAAAGACATAGCCACCGGTGAGTTTTCTATGATCCAGTGGATGCCGCCACCCTGGGCATATTGGTAAAACTAACTGGATTTAGTAGGTTAAAAAAAGACATGAAGTTTGGTGAGGTATAGTTTTTTTTTCATTTTACTCTTCCAGGGCACATCACTCAGATCCAAAATAAACACATGGAGTCTTATAAATGCTCCACCTTATCCTGGCTTATTTCTTGCCAGTTTTCCTAAAATTATCCTATCTACATTTTTGTCCGTGGGCTTCTACATTTCTCTGTTTCTGTATATCTTTTCTTTTCTTTACTTCTTACTCTATGGCTTGCTGTGTAGCATGTTGGCTGCCCCCTGATATCCTCTACTCCTTCTCCCTTTTCTTGCTCCTTGTTCTTCATCTCCTACCCTGTTTATTCTCTCTGCTTGCCAGCCTCACCTAGTCCTCTCTTCTGCCTAGATATTGACTATTCAGCTCTTTGTTAGACCAATCAGGTGTTTTAGACAGGCAAAGTAACACAGCTTCACAGAGTTAAACTAATGTAACAGAAAAGAATGTAACACATCTTTGCATCATTACACAAATGTTCCACAGCATAAACAAATGTAACATATCTTCAATTAATGTTCCACAACAGAGTGGAGCTTGGTAGAGAGGGTATATATGGGAGGATTGGATGTGGGAAACTGGGGGTAAATATGATGTTTCAATGTGGATATGTATGGCATTTTAAAAAATAAAGACAAATTGAAAAGGCATCGAGGAAGATTACATTGTCCTAGAATAAAAAATTTGCTTAGCTTTTTGTTGTATAATTCTGGCATTTTGGCAAGAATACAGGATAAGGTTCCAAACTGAATATTGATTATGTTATTATAGGTCTGTGGTAGTTTGAATGGGAATGTTTCTCATATTCTCATTATTGAACATCTAGCCCACAATTGGTAGCACTGCTGGGGGACATTAAGGAGGTGTAGCCTTGCTGAGGAAGTCAGTCCTTGGGCTGGGCTTTGAGAGTTATAGCTCATCTCACTTCCAGTTCTGTCTCTTTGCATCATGTTGTGGGGAAAGACATGATCTCTCAGCTTCTTGTTCCAGCTACTGTGCACTGACATGCCTTCCATCTGTGAAAAGATGGAAAGAAAACCATGATCTACACTTAGGCATGGATAACATTATGTCTGTCTTGGTAAAAGGAAGGATGCAGAGGTCATGAGGAAGCATAAATTTTGAGTCAGGTGTAGATTAGAAGAAAGGACATATGACAGGTAGGATATTAGTTGGGGGGGTGGTAGAGGAGGAAGGGAAGGAGAAGGGAACTAGGATCATCATGTAATTCAATCTTGTTTGTAATTCAAATATATATATATAAAATAAAAAAGAGTGGAATAAGCAATAGTAAGAATAATAAAATGTAAAACTAATCTTTGAAAAAAAAGAATGCAGGAGGAGATAGCAGGTTATACTCAAATGTCATTGTTGTCTCTATGTTCCCCGCCAGTCTCTTCATGAACAAGAATGTTTACCAGTGTGTGGGCATTTGGACATGCATGTGAATGAGCATGCTTTATATTAGCCTAAAAGAGTAGAAACTTGCAAGTCAGTTGTTCATCTCCTTCCCTTCATCCAATGCCAGTTTAAATGGCTCCAATAGAGTTCTTGTTCCTCTCTAAAACTAAATGACCTAGGACTCCACTTCTGCATCCTTCTTTGCATACTTATCTCCATGATCCCACTAGAATAGCCATAAGCTTTGCTTCCATCATTTAATAACTTTTCTAGTCAAATGCACCAAATGCTTTCACAAAATAGTCAAAAGATGTAAAAGCCATATGGTCATGACCCCACTTCCTTGGCAGCAGTGTCTATTTTCTTTTCTGTTGCTGAGACAAAATACCCCAACAAGAAACAACTTGGGCAGAAAGGATTTCTCTTAACTCACAATTCCAGGTTGTCAACCATCACAGCTGGGAAGTCAAGGCAGCTAGAACTAAAGCAGATGGTCTCATCACCATGGAGGTCAGGATGTGGAACACTGATGTGAGAATGGGTATTACTCCGCCAGCTTTCTCTGCAGAGCTGGAGGGCTGCCTCCCACTTTCAGCCAGGATCTTCATACATTAACTATGTCAACCAAGAAAATCTTACATGGATTTGCCCACAGGCCAACTTGATCTAGATAATCTCTCATAGAGACTCTTCTCAAATGTGTGTGTCCTTGGCTTTTTATTTCCTCCTTTGTATTTCCATCTTCTGTCACATTGACAGGTACTTGTTTCTCTACCACTTTAGAACATACAGTGTATATTTCTGTCTTATAATAACAACTCTTAGGTTAGATGTCTATACACATAAAATTGCTTCAGTCTTGTACATTTGTCTTTGGATTATGCTGTTCATTTTTCTTCCTACAGGGTTCTTTTAAGAAACCATATTTGTTATTTCTCCATTCTTATTGTTCCCAATCTTCTCTCTTCACAATCATCTCAGTGGATGATTACAAATACTGCACATGAGCTATACACAAAGTAGTAATTTTGGAGTTCCTCAACATAGCTGATAGACTACAGCTACAATTCACAAATAACTAATAGAAACAAAGCCATCACACTGTATGAGAACATGATTCCCCTGTGACGTCAGGGACTGTCCATTTACTTCATCCTCTTCTCTGCTGCTAGAGAAACATGTTCATGTGAATAAAGATAGGATCCTTAAGAGCTGTGATGATGCTGGATCCTGTTAAAAACAGCAGTATCTATGCTGTTCAGTAGAGGCTGATACAATGGAGCAGTGTGACCTTTAAGTGCTACTGTAAGGAAGCCCACAGATTTATTAATACAGTTTACATTATTTTATTACTTTTGTTTTTTGAGGTTATAGTATAATTAAATCATTTATTCTTTCCCTTTCCTCTCTCCAAACCCTCTCACATTACCCCTCCTTTTTTTTCAAATTCATGGCTTTTTGAATTCAAGGCATCGTTCTTTAGAGTGTCAACCAGTGTCTCCTTTTTTTATGTGTTCTTACTATTAATTTTCAGTAAAACTTTAGTCAATGCTTATGAATTTATTTTTATTTAAATTATAAAAATCTAATAAATAGCACACAATAAGAAATATCAGCTTAATTAGAGGTTTAATCTCTATGATATGTAACTTTTAAGTGGTTCACCTTTAACCCTCACTCTGTTAGGCTGTCATGTCTTTGGACCATCTTGCATTTCCTCCATCAGGAACTAAAGGAATGAAGGCAGTTGCTTTTGTGTGGTGGCTGAAGTCACCTTTGTTGATGGTGTTGGTCCACTAGGGGGCACTGCAGGCTTCCCAGAAATGATTTTCTCAAGTGCCTAAAGGGTTGGGCAGTTAGAGACCAGAGAACATGTGAGGCTGTCAGTCACAGATAGCAAAGTGTATTCCTGGTCATTAGGTTTGCTGGTCTGTGGAACCATAAAGCTAGAGGAGCCTGGACATCCACTGTGAGGATAATTCCTTGAGGAGAGATAAGGAACTAGAATTTTAGTGGTCAACACGAGGTCTGAAGCTCAATAGAAGACATCTAACTCCATAACTTCCAGTTTTAAAATTTTATGGATGAAAATCACCAGAGTTCAGTGACTCAGAATTATTCCAATACTTGTGATAGCTAAACTTTTAATTATCTCCGCTCAGACTAGCAGTAACAGGAGGAAAATTAATAAGTCACAAAAACAGAAGAAGAAAATATAGAGAACACCACTGAACTTGACCAGAGGTGTGTGGGTCTGCAGGGTACAGGGAAGGGACTGGAGAAGGACAGAGGTAGAAAATGACTCAGGGAGGAAGTTGTATTCATAACCTGTTGTTTTAAAAGGTGGAAATTTCTTTGGAAACATTCCTTTGCAGATAGTGACCTGCTGATTTCAAAAGAGTGTATTTACTCCTAGCAGACATTTCATTCCTTCAAAGAGTTTCCATATAACTGATTTCTCAAATTGTGTCCAATTATGGAATTTAAGAAAAGGCTTGGTCTCTCTATCCCTCTATGCTCTCTGATATACAGAGAATGCCAATCTTTCCTGATATATCATCCTCTCCTTATAATTTCTCAAATGTCTTTTGCTTCAACTGTTATAACAAACAAACAAAAACCAAAAAGCACCTAACAGACCACAGCTCTGGAACAGTTACTCTGAGGCCCACTGGGCTGCTGTGGGCGTGGTTTTCCATCAAGATGAAAGAGCTCAGATTTTATTGTTGCCTGGTGAATGAGGGAGAACCTGCTGCCTACAATCTAGACATTGTCTGGAGCTGGGTGAAGGCACCTCAGCAGTTTGATGGGATCCTTGGAGAGGAGCCTGGGAGCTGTGCTGGGGCTGCTGTGGGTGCAGGTTTGCTGTGAGTTGTGGCTCTCCCAGATGTGTTGGGGTGATCCATAGTTGACAGCAAAGTGGGCATAAAAAAGCTGGCTCTTCATGGCTGTCTTCCAGGATATGGGACAGGGTGGAAACTGCGGAATGATGGCCCCATCGTATGTTTCTTTTTTCCTTTCTCTAAGCAGGGGTGAAAGGCATGCAGGTGGAGCAGAATCCTTCAGCCCTGAGCCTCCAGGAGGGAGCCAGTTCTGCTCTGAAATGCAATTTTTCTACCACCATGAGAAGTGTGCAGTGGTTCCGACAGAATTCTCTGGGCAGCCTCATCAGTCTGTTTTATCTGGCTCCAGGAACAAAGGATAATGGGAGGTTAAAGTCAACATTCGACTCTAAGGAGCGCTACAGCACTCTGCACATCAGGGACGCCCAGCTGGAGGACTCAGGCACCTACCTCTGTGCTGCAGAAGCACAGTGCTCCCAGCAAGCCTGCAGCCTGGCCCAAAACTGCAGCCGGGTGTTCAGCTACAGCCCTGCCACAGGGAGACTCTGCAGGAGGCTTTGCACAGCTGTGGAGGTCCCAGCTTATATGTATCTCTGTCATCTCCATAACATCATTCAGTCCAGGATTCTTGTCTGTCTTCTTTGTACCGTTTCCTTACAGATACCCAAATTCTCAGGAAGAATATTAGAACAACTTAAAAGATGACAAGTTTCAGAGTACTGTCATATAGATCCATTGGCACAGTGTTCAATCTCTTAAGTTATTGTCCTACAAAAGGCTTTAAACAGACGTGCTGTGGAAAGAACGGAAAAGAGATGACCATGTTCAGTCAATTGCAGATTTTTGGATTATCTAGAAAAATGAGACTTGTATTAGTTCTTTGAGGATGTCATACAAAGCGCTTTGATAATATTCATTTCTCCACCAATTCTTACCAGTTCTACCCCTTGTCCTCACTTTTCAGCTTTCTTTCTTTGTTTCTTGAAAAAATCAAAATCTCTGTGTGCTGTCCATAACCCTGGATGTGTGACCCTCACTGGAGTGTAGTTGACTTACTGGGTCCATTGACTTTTAAAGAAAGGAGATTTTTGTTCTTGTAATGTCTATCAGATGCCAACAGTTACAGGTGGAACTTTGTGTTCTTCACCACAATGCTGGAATTTTGTTTATCTTGAGCATGTGCATGTCTTGTGCATGTTATTCCAACTGCTTTGAGTTCATATATGTTAATTTTTCTTATAATTGAAGGTTCAAAGATAAAATGCCTGGATAAGAGTTCAGAATTACATACCAGTTATGGAGATTTGAAAAAAATGCCCCCATAGGCTCATATATTTGCATGCTTTGTCTCCAGTTGATAGACTGTTGCGAAAGCATTCAGAGGTGTGCCTTGTTGGAGGAACTGTAGGAGGACATGTGTTATCAGAAGTGGGCTTTGAGGTTTAAAAAGTCCACACAGACCCAGTGTCTCTCTCTCTGACTGTGGCCTACTTTGATCAGGATGGAAAAATCTCTCAGCTATTTCTTCAGGACTGTGCTGGCCTCCCACTGTGCTCCAGGCCATGATGATAATGGACTAAACCTCTGAAATTTTAAGCAAGCACCAAATTAAATTTCTTTTATAAGTTGCCTTGGTTATAGTGTCTTTTTACAGCAATAAACAGTAACTAAGACACAATCATGACTTTACTTTATCAGATCTCCCCAACTTACAAAACATGTATGAGAAAGTATTAAATCATGAATATTTAAGTTAATGTTTACAACAAAGAAGACTTACACAAAATTCATTAGTATTAGTTAGTAGTTACATCATTTCAGAAAAGTTGTTCCCCTACAGTCATCAAACCTGGATTTAATAAAGCCGATGTTTCCAACTAATACTCTAGATGTGTCTGCTGTTTTTTTGCCACAGTACTTAAAATAGCCATAAGAGCTCAAATGTCAGCTTTGTCATTTTTCAAATTTAGAAGTTGTCAAATATTCATTTTGCACTTTACATTTCTGAGGAGCGCCTGACATCATCCAAGTAGATCACTTGAGAAGGAAGTTGCTAAAAGAATAACATTTTAAACACTAGTGAGTGAAACTATACATGGTGAAGTCTGAAAAGTCACAGGAAATCATACACCATTATATCAACACCCATGATACATTAACAGAGTAATTGCACTTACTTTTTATTGTAATTTTTATTATTTAAAAAAAATTTGCAACATATTTTGATTATGTTTTTTTCCTCAAGTCCTTCCAGATCCTCCTTACCTCGCTGCTTGTCTAACTCAATGTTCTCTTAAAGAACTGTCAAACAAACAAAACCCAAGAAGGCAAAACAACCTCCTCCAAAGACAAGACCCACTACAGCATAACAACAGCAACAAAAGCATACACACAAAAATGTTTGTGTTGGTCAACTACTCCTGAACTTGAGGCCTACTGTGGTTAACCTTCATATTGTCACTCCACTGGAGAAAACTTATTTTCCCTCTCGAAGCAAAATGGAAAACAGTTTTTTGGTTAGGGGTGGGACTTTGTAACCACTTTCCCATGTCTGTGTTGGGATTTTGTGTGACTTGAGTTTTCATGATCTCGTTTTTTGCTGTTGGTGTATTGAAAGGGTTTCCTGAAGTTAATTTTGTATCATGACACTTTGTTGAAATTATTGATCATTTCTAGGTGTTTTCTCACAGAACTTCTGAGATCTCTTAAATATAATGTCATATTATCATTTGTATCCATTTAATTTTTCCCTTGTCTTACTGCACTAGCTAGTGTTTCAAGCACAATGAAAGTGAATGGAGACAGTAGGTAGGCTTGTCTCATTCCTAATTTTAATGGATTGCATTGAGTTTTTGTCTACTTAGAATAATGTTGGTCAAAGAAATGCCTATATAGCTGTTTTTTTGTTGAGGCATGTTTCTTCTTCGGTTCTACTATCTCATGACTTTTATCATGAAAGTTTACTAGGATTTGTCAAAGAATCTTTCTGTATCATGCGATTTTTGTCTTTAAGTACTTTTATATAATTTATTATATATGCCACCTTATGTATAATGGATCATGTTTGAATGTCTGGGATAAAGCCAACTTGATCCTTGTGGATGATCTTTTTATGTATGAGTTTATTTGCCTTATGAGTATTGATTGAGGATTTTTGCATGTATGTTCATGAGGAATATTGGCCTGTAATTTTATGTGATTGTTAATTTTTTTTGCTGGTTTTGGTATTAGAATAATGCTGGATTTCTAGAAGGAATTTGATAATGTTCCTTTTGTTCCCATTTTCTGAGTAATTTGAGAAATTTTGCTTATAGGTCTTCTTGGAAAGTCTGAAATTCTGGTAGAATTCTGTTATGCATACATCTGGGCCTGAGCTTTTTTTTTTTTTTTTTTTTTTGGAAGACTCTTAATCACTGTTTGAGTCACCTTATTTATTTTTGTTCTGTTTTAAGGTAATCTACTTTTGATTTGACTTTGGTCATTTTTATGAAATATTAATTTTTTCATTTCCTTTATGTTCTCCATGTTTGTGGAGTACAGGTTTTAAAAGTATTTCCTTACAACATTCTGAATTTATCTTTGACTGTGCTAATTTGTGTTATCTGTCTATATTTTGGTTAATTGAGCCAAAGTTCTGTCACTCTGGAAGAACCAATTCTTAAATTTGTTGAGTCTTTTTTTATTTTCTTTAATTCTATTTCATTAATTTTTGTTTTAATTTTTAAAATCTTGTCCCATATATTGAGTTGGGGTTTCATTTGTTCCTATTTTTCCAAAATTTTGGATTGCATCTTTAAATAGTTTATTTGTGTTCTTTCAGATTTCTCTGCAAAATGTAGGTGCTTAGAGTTATAAAGTCCCCTTCTAGGTCTAATTTTAATGTGTTCCAGAAGGATAGAATGTTTTTTTCCGTGTGTGTGTGTGTGTGTGTGTGTGTGTGTGTGTATGTGTGTGTGT